TATATATATATATATATATATATATAATAGAGGGGGACCACCATACCTTATTGATAGTCTTACACCAATTTCCTTTCCCTGCAAACTCAAATGCATGAGAAAGGTGCTCTAATTCTTCTATGCCACCAGTGAGATCGTGCAGGGTAAGTAGGTTCTGAGATTTGATCATTGCAAGAGTTTCTTTTTATTATTTAGGGTAGTGTTTAATATTAACTATGTTTTAGTATCAACTCTGTTTTAGTTATTATATGATTCCATTTAAATTGTGAAGTACTTAGATGCATGTGTAATGAGATATTTTATAAAAATATGACTGAGCCCTGCTGGCGCAGTGGTTAGAATGCCATATTGCAGGCAAACTCTGCCCACAGCCTGGAGTTCAATCCTGAAAGAACTCAAGATTGACCCATCCTTCCATTCTTCCGAGGTTAGTAAAATAAGGACCTCATTGGGGGCAATGAGATTCTACATTGTAAACCATCCAGAGAGTATTGTAAAGCACTATAGGGCGATGTAAGTCTAAGTGCTCTTGCTGTTTCCATAAAAAATATGTCTAATTAAAATAAAAGAATTCCATTAATGACCTCTGCTAATGACAATGTCTAAATGTGAAGGGAAAGAATCAGTTTCTCTTAATTAAAGATCTCAGTTGAGGAACTCTTAGTGTAGATATCTGTTTCCTTTGTTCACATTACTCATAGTCAATACAATTCTTTCAGAGATCATAGGCAGGACAGGAGAAGCTGCTACCTCTGGGTAAGATAGGAGATAGAGCACAATCCATTTCAACACAGTTGTTGTAGTCTCCACACCAGCTCCAAAAACATCAGCCACTGTCATGAGTAGGTAGTCATCTGTTAGTTCTTGTTCACAAAATATATGTTTATTGTTGTTCTCCATGTTCAATTTGGCCCTCAGAAGTGCATCCATTAGATCATTAACAGAATCACTGCTGAACATTTCCTGGAAGCGAAAAATGAGAATTGATAGTGGTTATGATTGAAGAACACTACAAGGAAGATTACTTAGTGGATTAGGCCTGCCATACTAGAGCATTTCCAATATGTATTTGTATGTTGAGTTTTTATCACACTTTTCTTCCAAGAGCTCAAGGCAGCATGCATAGCACATTATTTGTGGGGCAAACCAGTGGCTTCTCTTGCCTGGCCCCCACCTCAGCCAGCATTGGTTCCTTCCCTTCTTTGTTCCAGAGAGACTCTTACTCAGGGGAGAGAAGAGACTTCAATCCAACCCAGAATTATGTCTGCTTATTTGAATAACTCCACCTACTATTTCTATAAATGATTTAATTTCCACAAGTTCTGCCATTTTTTAAAGCTAAAAAGCTCATAGTAGATTAAAATTGCTTAAAAGATGAGATTGAGAACAGACTGATTGGTCAAAATTTATGCCATGAACATAATTGTTTTACATTTACAAAACAGCCACTGTTTTAATTATATGAAGAACATATAGCTGATATTGAATGAAAAAGTTAGAACATAAATGGTTCAAATAAATAAAGTATTTAATATTTCTCTTTGGCATTACTAGGGATCTTTATGGGAACAGAGCTGAGGCCACATGATAACTTTGATGCTACTAATAAAATCTAGTTTTTGTGATCCACCATTATAAGGGATAGTATGATTAGCCCATAAATTATTTGAGTGTAGACACTTACTTTATGTTTCTCAAACTTCTGGTATAAGAGCTCGTCCCTCATTTCAATACATTTCTTCAGCAAAGCCAAATCTTTATTTGGGAAATACTGTTGTGGGCAGAGAAACAGCAATAATCACAATCTCTATCTTAATTGTGATGATAGATAGATAGATAGATAGATAGATAGATACGGTAGATAGATAGATAGATAGATAGATAGATAC